AAACTTGAAGTACAGTTCAGGCGTTTGTTTGCATCCTACTCGTGATGAATATGACAGATCGTAAAATACCGAGTAATATGCGTTTTATAACACAATATTTTATAATACGTTTTATAATAAAGTGATGAACATGTGTTGCAACTAAGCTCTCTTTTTTGCCCCTTGACTGATATCAAACTTTGTCGAATAATTTGGATCGACGCGGATTCGAATTCACGCCTTCTGAACAGATCAGATCCTGAAAGCATTACACCCGTACACTATCGACCCATTGCTCAAGCATTTCCATTTGATTTCAGTACTATCTTGTTTAAGTACTATCAACTTTGCATGCTGGCTTTNTCTTGGTCGATGATGCGCATTAAAATAACATAGTTCGGATTGGTTGCGGAGGATTTGTCGTACACCCGATATATGGCATTGATTTCTTTTTCAGATCAGATGCTCCTTTTGGAAAATAAGTTTTTAAAATCCTGCATCCATATGTAAGGTGCGGTGTGTGAATCCGTTAATAGGAAATTTTAAGCTTATCTTATCGATGGATGGGGTGTAATTGATGCTTTGTGGAACTCCTTCGAGTTCTGATACAAAAGAGAGTTTGTTTATGTTTATGAGAGTTTGAGCGCTTCGTCAATTCTCGGTTGCTGATTTCGCCTTATATTGAAATGTTGTTTCAGATTTGAATCAGAAATCAGAAAAGCGCAACAAACCCACGGCTGATCATGTCAGGAGATAGCGATATGATGGGTGCTTCGGTATCAGGACTCACTGACTTTCTATCATGGGAACCATCAACCCCGTCGGTACCGAATCGTTCGGTGGATTTGGAAGAGGATAACGTCGGATGGTTTCAGCGTTATCAGAATCTTTCAGCAGATCAAATATCGTATGTTTCGTTCCCTTGTAATTTTATAAACCTTTGAATCAGTTTATGAAAAATTTTCTTGAATCACTAATGTTCCTTTGTAGAAAAACATCTGCTTTCATTTGACATCAGATGCCAGCTTGAATTGATGTTTAGACTGACTTCGATTAAGTAGATTCGGGATGTTCAGATTATGCAGAGTTATGATTTCTAAGTGCATTTGCTTATTTGTTCTGGAAATTACTTAGAAGTTAGGTGTAACGTGGAGTTAGGTGTTATACTTTAAAGTGTTGCGATGCTTATATACGAACTCTGTTGCACGTTGAGTGTCAGTGTCGGTTAAGAGTATATTCTGAAGCGAACTAAGTTGTGTTTATTGAATGCCGATAAAAACGATTCAACTTCATTAAGAAAATACATCTCTTCAATTGCACTAAGAATGTGATTTCAGTAGAGCTGATATGAAGGAACTGGTCGTTGATTATCTGATAGCCGAAGGCTATAGAGAGGCAGCAGAGTTGTTGTGTAGTGATGCTGGCATACCATTTCCACAGAATGCGGTTGAGAACCTGGATGCGCGAATGGCCATTCGAGACGCTATCATTGATGGACGGGTGGGCAATTAATCTGAACATTTGTTTGTCGTTCAGTTTCGATGTTACCATCGAGGAGAATACGTTTCTGTGTTCATTATAAGCTTTGAATGGATAAAAGCTGAATCGTAGTCGTATTTAAATGCATGAACGTTATAGATTGAGGATGCCATTCGAAAAGTAAACGATTTAGTGCCGGATCTATTGGACGATAATTCTCTTCTGCATTTGCAACTTCTGCAGCAACATCTCATTGAACTGATCAGAGAGAAAAAGGTATCATTCAGATTTTTTTAAAACTTTTGT